CCACAATTTCTTCCACTCCTTGCTACAAGACATGCAAAAAAGAGGGAGGAATCCAGGAGGGCCACTCTCTACAGTCGCATTAATGGCGGTGGTAGAACACAGCTCACACCTCCAGCAGGACTTTCCCCCGTGAGCCTGTCCTGATTTGAGCTGTGTTTCCCCAGAAGCATCCCCAGGAGGAAGGGGCACGTTGTGTTGGAACACGCGCTTGCAGTTGTCATGCCAGCGGGTGTGTAACGGGAGATGCTAAAGCCGATCTCAGAAATAAATGTCTGAGCAAAGTCACCCCTTGCAGAGAGCAGCCAGCGGGGTCACGGTGAAGAGCGCAGGCATTTCTATTAGCGCAGAGCCTGATTTATTAGTCTCGCTGTGTATCTACACCCACAGAAAATGTGGTACCCTTGGGGCCCAGTGTCTTCAATCCACATTTATAAATGTCTCTCCCAAGGGACTGCTCAGCTGTGTTACACACGGCTGATGACAGCTTCCCTCCATCTTTATGCACAGTACCAAGAGGCGTAAGACAGGGATCGTAGGAAGAGAACTGTCCTGAGCTGCTGAGGACCTTTCCCCACATGGATCCACGAGTGCTCACTGTGGGACAGAGAAGGGTCAAGAAGAAGACAACCTTGGGAAAAAAAAAGGGTTGTCACAAAGAAAACAGAATGAACTCCTTTTTTAATCCCCTGATACTAGGGCACCTCCTCCGTATTCACCTTCAGCCCGTCTCCCACTACCCCAAGGAGGCTGTGAACACGTCTCTGCCTTGCTGGCAGCTGCCGCACTGAAATGGTTAAGAGGGAAAACGTTTGCAATCCGGCCCCCTTGGCTGGCCGAGCACTGCAGTGCTCCTGGCCCTAAGTTTACTTTCCTCTTTCGCTTCTCGCTCTCTAGTGCCAAGCGTAAGGATCTGGCCCACGCCGCAGCCCGCTTTGCCAGCACGAGCGCAGTGACTCATTCAACAGCTCTTCATCACAACACATTCTTTCAATGGGACTTCATTTTGGATGGCACTTGTCTTCAAAAATCTGATGCCGGAGAACGGCAAGAAATGCATAAACATGGGCGCAAAACAAAGAGGGGGGAAAAACCGTGGGGTTGGGTCAAAACTGATGGGGTGAGACTAATTTTCTTTTTAACTCCAGCAGCAGATAACCCATTTTGCTAATAGGAGCAGAAACCCAGCTCAAAGGAAAAAGAAAGGTCCTCACATCACTTCTTCCATCAGGCTGACACCTCTTCATCTTGGGGAATTTAACATCTGTTACATAATTCAGAGAACATGTGGTTATTTTCCAGGCTTATTAATAGCTCAAACCCCAAGACTTAAAATGAAAATCAGCAGCTGCTCCCGACTTCACCTCTCAGAGAAGTGGTTGAGAGCAGGTACAATGACTGGCTGGGGGTCAGGGCTTTCAGTCAATTCAATGCTCCTCATTACAAGCCATAAAGGACACAGCTGGGACTGTGTCTCTGATGCTGAGACATCTGGATTTCCAGATTTTCCTCAACACTTTTTTCCTCTCACATCTCATTTTTCTTTCCAGTGGAGGCAGAGGAGCGGGGAGAGGATCACAGATATGAGAGTGGGCTGGAAGAGTGCAGACAGGAGGGGAGGGACATGGTGCATCATTGTCCCCTTCATACACAAAGCACTTTCATTCATAAGGGGCTCAGTAACATCCAAGATGACTAACACGGCTTACAGGCGCTTTGATGTAAGGATCTTTTTCTTAATGCATATGTTGCCCTCTAAGTTGGGGAACAGGCTGAAGAAATGCACTTGGCACCTGGAGTAGTGAGAAGGTTGTTTCTAACTTGGGCTGCTTTGTTCCTGGTGGGGATGGAGGTACACCACCATGGGTGAGGTGGTGGGGCAGATATGGAGGTATGTCTCCGCTCAGTAATAACTACCTTAAATGCTCTTTGATGCTATTTTCAGGTGGGACTCAGGGTGGGCGATAGCCTTGGTAATGGTGAGGCTGTGGCTGAGGCAAACACATGTGTACACGGCTGTTCCTGAAACGCCCAGCCTGCAGCTCGTGTGTCGTATCAGGAAACGGTAAAGGCAGAGCCCCCCAGCCCTTGCCATCTCCAGTCCATCTAAGCGTCAATGACAATATAAGGTCATACAAATTATCTTCTCATTCTCTTGATCTGCTCAAGCAGGACCTGAAGTTCAGCTTGATCCAATCCCAAATTCATGCATGGCTTTAAGCCAATGAAGAAAAAGCCAGGCTGACAAAAGATGGTGACTAATGCAAAACGCTTCATTTTCCGGCACTTAATAAAGGCCAAGAACATTTGACAAGAAAGGCTAAGTTCACCAGACACCACTGGTTGCTGCAGGGAGGAGGTGGCTGTGATGGTCTCTGTTCAGTTTTGAGCTCCACTGTGGAACAGCAAAGTGCATGGCCTAAACATCAGGCTATCAGAAATCAGGAGCTGGTGTAGCTCCAGTTATAAAAAATACTTAAAAACTCACTAGGACAGAGAGTAGAACTCATGCATCTTGACCAGGAAGAAACCCAGACAGTAGGTTGATATTTCTTTATATCCAGTGAAGACCTGATTATTTATATAGTGCAAAGCAGCAGCAGGAGAACTTAAGGGAAATCCACCCAAGAACATGATACAAGCTTGAAGGCAACTCCACTAGGAGGCAAAAGTCCCTGGCTCAAGACCTTCTTTCAAACTGACTAGAGAGATGCCTTCAGCCAACACATCCCACCTTCTGACTCACTGCTGGATCAAAGACTGGCGTGCTTCCCTGGCCCTAGAGGCTGCAAGTCACAATCTTTATGTGGTCAAGAACCACAAGACATCTACTATGCCCCAGGAGACCTGGGGGGAAGGGGGTCGTAGACAGGACCCACGTTGCAGCCTGAAGCTGGGTTGGGTTTGGGGCCAATT